CTGTCCATGGATTCTGACCGCAGCAACCTGCTTCCATGGCATGGGCACGCTTCCCTGGGTGTTGTGGTGCTGCCTTATGAGTTCCATGCTTCCCCTGTTGTGCTGAGATGGCGTAGGCATGTGAATCATAGCGCTGCCTCCTGACTGACTTGGAGGCCATGTTATCGCTGCTACACAACTTGTAGGTTTGTGTGAGCAGACAATCATTCCTCTTCCATCTGTCTCACGTCTGCAGCATCATTCGGCTCTGAAAAGGAACTATAATTACAGCCCAGATTTGTCAGAGACCCTTAACTCTTGACAAAGTAGGCTACTGACTTGAGGAATCCTGTTAGGCTGGAGAGGGCTAGAACAGTGATGGGTGACATTGTCATCATGGCTTCAAAGGCAGACTTTGGGTCCAGTGAGAGACCTTAAGACCAGCCAAGGGCACCTTTGCTGCTACTGGGCAGGCACTTGGAGTCCCTGGCTGGGACTGTAGCACGATTAATAAAACTCAGAATCAGATATTGGGGTTCAAGCTGAAGACTAGAAAAGCAAAGCAACCAGCCATTGGTTCTAACTTCAGCCTCAGTCCAAAAATGGTGATCCTGCCTCCAGGAATGCTCAGAATGAGACTGAGAGCTGTCTCCTCCCGTTTTATAATCCTCTCTAGCTCTTGGATTAAGAGTGTGCACCACTACCACCTGGTTTCTATGGCAAACTAGTAGGGCTGGCAGGGCTGGTGCCCTGAGAAAATTCCTTATGGCTTTAGTAGCTGCCATTGCATGGCCCTCACGTAGCCTCTTTTCCAGGCTCACACTCCTGATAACTGCTTCCTCTCCTTGGAAGTTCCCGTGTCCTGTAGCTTTAGAATCTCACCCTCAGACCTCATTTCACCTTCATTGTCTCTTCCAACTACTCCACCCTCACCCCGCCACAGTCATGTAGAGGTTTTGGTCCTCTACATGAATTCTACAGGGGCACAACTGAACTTCGTTTTACAAGTGAAGGAGTTAGGGGGCTGGAGAGATGGCTCAGAGGTTAAGAGCACTGGCTGCTTTTCCAGAGGTCCTGAGTTCAATTCCCGGCAACCACATGGTGGCTCACAACCATCTGTAATGAGATCTGATGCCCTCTTCTGGTGTGCAGGAAAACATGCTGTATATAACCAATAAATAATTTTTTTAAAAAAAAATGAAGGAGTTAGTGTGTAAATTTCTTCAGTAAGCGCCAATGAGACCTTCATCACCTCTCTGTGTCACTATCAATTAGTAGATTTCCATTTTAATTGACTCAGTGCTTCATTTTATGTTTAAATTGTTCCAAATGTGGCCAGTC